ATTTATTTATTTATATTTATATATTAATTTATTTATTTATATTTATATATAAATATTCTTTATATATAAGGCGACGTCGCCGAAAAAAGTGACGTCGTGTCGCCTTTAATTTATATATTAATATATATATTATTTATTTATTTATTTTTTCGTTCCGCCCGATAACGGGCGGTCCGTATGCCGGTAAACTGACGGACCGGTACGTATCGCCTGTACCGGGCGGTATTATTCGAAATTACATACCTTGCCATGAACAATATTAAGGGCCATCATGTGTGCCAAAATGGAACTATTAATGGTCCATACTGCCCATATTGCGGAGGTTGTTGGCAGGTCGATATGTGGGCTCTAAGATGGTTAATGATACAATTTACATCACAACAAACTGCTGCTACTTTGCCTTGTATTGGTTTGCAAGCCCAAACCCAACACCAAATAACCACTCCTTTGATCTTATATTCCCAATAGCTAACCGTACATCAATGAACGAATGAAAAAATAATAACATCAGTGATTGTCATAGCTAGTCATAAGATGATTTAGTCGGCCCAATTTACTGACGTTCACTAGAAGTTTCTTTTAGTAAATCTAGCTGCAATAGCAATCTCCTTATAAGTTAGCGACATGAATCGTTTTTTGTTCTACCACTCTGTATTGATGGGAATATCACTAGTCAAACTAAGGGCCATAATATCACCTTCGACACAGCTAGGTCTTTCTCTGCAATATGTTAAACTAAGAGCACTGGAACTCAACTGCAATATATTAGCACACTAATGCTCCAAGCAACCTTGAAAGAAAAAATAGACAATGCACACAGGAATGTGAAAAAATAGATAATGGTTTTGCTACTTCTAGGACTACAAGTAACATAGATGTAAACAGGAATATGAAAAAATAGACAATGCAGATCAACTAAAATCTTTGAGTGTATTTCAATACCTTGATGCAATTTCCGAGAGTCTCAGATGTCCATCATGCAATGGATTAAATGAACCTGGCAATATCACCATCCTCTCTGAAGCTGTGTCCTTATCTACAAGCACAGATGCTTGTTAGCTCACAAATATTAGAAGCAAATTAAGTTTTATAAGAAGTACAAGCAAATTAAGTTTTGTAAGATGACATCAAAGAATCTAACTATTTTCACAGTACCGCCAGAAAAATCATAAATCTTCATGCAAAGCTTCCCATCAATAATTTGTTGTAGCTCCTCATCCTCATCAACTTGCCTTTCATATTCATCAGGTACTTCAGATTCATACAATTCTGAACTAAAAGTGGCAGAAACTTTGCAGGCATCTGAAATTGCCTTTCAAAATCAGGTAACATTTCATCAGGATAGTTGCAAATTATACATGTCATAAAAACGCAATCAACAATTAAGAAGCTCAACTGCATCATTACAGCTCATACTCCGCATAGAAATTAACAAAACTAGTACGATGATAGACTACAGCAATGCTACATGAATAAGAAGAATAAGTCTCAAAAACAATAAACTAAAAGAATTCAGAAGCAGGTATAGACTGAACTGTTACATCAGGTATGTACCAGTCCAATGGCCTGGCAGTCAACAGCATAAACCGTGGCACATGCCACTCAACTGTATATACTCAAATCTTAAAAGGTTCCATGGCACATGCTGACGTGCCATGTGTTGGTATACCAGCATGTACCAGACCAATAATGGTCAGGCCAGCACGGCGCCAATATCCGGAACATCAAACAATGGTTAGAAAGATTAACTGCACTAAAAGGATGATAAATAATCAAGTTTCAATAATGCATATCATGATATTAAGTGAAGTAATCAGAAAAGTATTAGAAAAAAAAGACACAAAAAAAAAATTGTGTTGTACAATAAGAAATGAGCACTGCTACATTCCTAATAAATGAGTGATAAACAAAAGCTGTGTGCGTTTTGAGAAAGAAGTGAGCACTTTGGTTATATTGCAATAGGGTAGTAGCATATATGCAAGTAGCACATATTGCAACAGACCTCTAACAACAGAAGTCACTCAAATAAGCCAAGTGGCATATATATGCAAGCACAATTATTCTATTTCTTCTTCCTCAATCAAGCTAAATCTGCTTTTCGATCTAATTCTCAAATAATCAATACAAGTAATACATAACTTACATCACTAAGTTCTGAAAGTGCAGTACATCTCACATTGGCGTCATACAAGCACACAGCATTAGTGCCATTGCCAATGATGCCATATGAGATCACATTATAAAAGTATAATAACTGTCCTTGCCAGAGTATGGCACAGACTATGGTGTGGTTCCATATTACCACAATACATATAATGACAAAAGCTAACCAACATGGGCACAGCATATGGAACCTTAAACAACCAATCAACATAAATTAGGTATATAACATGATATCATCAAGGAAACAACAGAAAGTGAAAGTTGTATGGCCTTAGCTCGAGAAAAAAGAAACTTGCATATAATGGATCCTATTTCTCTCTCAAAATGCTCCAGTAGTAGTGAGCCTGTTAGTTCTTATATACCAATCCCCCTTTTCAAGATCCCACTCTTTGCACATATTTCATCTCAATGAAGTAAGCCAGCAAATTGTGCATCTTGTAACTTTTTTTCTCATGTAAAAGACATGCACAGAATAGGTCTTATTCGATAGCTCATCAAGTCTTATTGATCCAAATCATCATCATGCATCAGGCATCCAAAACAGACTAATACATCATTCTTTGAATGATATAATGCTTATCATTATATGATTCTGATGATCTAGCACAAAAAGACAACACAAAAAGCAACAGTTTGAAAGTAAGCAAACAATAATTAACACTTAATAGGAAGGTAGCCCAATATTACCAAACTGCTGCATAATTGGCCTATCGATTATGATTAGTTTATAAAGTACTCATCTCATTATTTATGTTCACATTATGAAATCATGCAAAAACGCATAATATTATACCTTTAATAAGAAATGACTGGAAACCCTGTCTTCTTCTTCTCGAGTTCGCAAACCCTAATAAAGACAGTTCTTAAGTAATATAGTATAGTAGTAAAAACAAATCTAGTATAGAAATATTATCCATGAATACCTTCAACAAAGTAACACTTGATGTCCAAAGACGATCACATGTTCGGGTAGACAAGTAAAATCTGCATGACAGTTCAAAATTAAGTAGGAAGACAATATAGACTGTATGATCATCAAAAGATATGTAGGAACATGACATAGAAGAGTATTTTACTTGATCTGAAGAAATGAATCACTAGCTGTATATGATGCAGTTTCATGTTTAAAAAGGACAAGCAACCAGACATACTAGTCTTTCGTATCTTCCCGTATATTCCATAATTTTGTTTCAATTGAGCATAGACATGAGTTATAACATAGTTGGCCAACTAAACAATTTAATTCTTTTTGCCAAAAAAATGGTTTCATAGACTTCTGAAGAAATATATTTTATTTACTGTCCCAGAAGCACACTGACTCAATTACTTCAGAGAACATATTTCATCTACACCAAAATTGAATTCAACCACCAAATGACAACATCTCATTTCCTATGAATAGAAAATAAAAGGCAACAACAATGATACCTGTGGTCTCCATGTTTTGTATATGTAGTAGCCAAGGACCCCGTAAATCCAACACCCAAAACTGGTAAACCTGCTTTTCCAAACATTGACTGAAATGTGTTAATCACGTAAGAATATCCATAATTGACATATCAGAAAGCATGGTTTTAAATACTGCAAGTGTGCTGCCAGGTATACAAGGCACAAACCAGTCCAGGGCGAGTTGGTATGCCAATAGACTAAAGTCCACCTCAGGTTTCAGTAGCCATTTATCATTCTTTTTTGGTTGAGTCCAACTGTTATGATTACAACATCGACCGGTATATACTGGTCAGATTTTGGGCTTGGTACAAGTACCAGTGCCAGTTTTTCTAAACCTTGTCAATAAGTATGCCCAGTTCCCATCAAACCTACCGTTAAGTAGATTAAATAATCTACAAGTTGATGTTCAAGGAACAAAGAAATCTTCAAAAAAGTATAATGATTTTGCATTATAAGTAGAAAAAAATTTGGAACTGGAGTTCCTTTTTTTCATTCAAATGTATATTGGATTATTACTTCAAAAGTTGGAACTAGAGTTCCTTTCTTTCATTCAAATGGATCAGCTAAAGTTCACGGTTGACAAGTAAAGAATAACCCATGGAAGATTAATGTATAACGACTTCTGGAGATAAGGAGGGAGAAGATATAAATAGAAGAACCAGGAAGAGAGAAAAAAATCTAGGCCAAAGTGCTGAATATCAAGGATTGAAATATCGTACCCTACCGGAGTTTCGACATTCGCTCGGTACGGTCCGGCACTGTATACCGCTCGGTATACCATCGATATACATATATATATATATATATAATAATAATAAAAATTCGTTGTCGTCTCTCTTCTCCCTATGCAAGGCGACGTCGCCTCTCTGCTCTCTCTCTCTCTCTCTCTCTCTCTATATATATATATATATATATATATATATATATATAATACTGTCCGGTAGCGAGCGGTCTGTGTACCGATCTGCTGACTGACCGGTACGTACCACCCAGTACGAGCGATATTATTCGAAATTGAAGATCTTGCTGAATATACTATTATTTATCTGTAAAGCTTGCCATAAAAAAGAAATTCAATATCCTTATATGTAATCTAGAACTTAAGCTCAAACTTAATTGTAAAAACAAGAGAACCACTATTTAACCAAATATTAGCATACTAAGATTGATTCCTAAACCTAAAGATCTCCAAACTCAACTTACTTGGACAAATTAGACACCTAAGATAAATGATACAAATGATCATTCAGAAAAAAATGTCAACAAAAAAAATAAGGCATTGGACAGAAATGTCACCTTGTTTAGACTAAAAGTTGACTCAAGCTAGATCTAACCTTCATCAGCTTCTTGTTACTTCAATTATGGTCTTCATAATACTGTCCATCTTGATCTTAATTGAACACAGTAGCACCACTTCAATGTAAAATGAATGGTAG